CTTCGAGGAGTCTTTGGTCGGTTTGAATCATCACTATTCCCACGTTTGCTATCAGCGTACATTCGACCCTATACAAAGTTCGCCATCCAAGCTTGGAGTCCAAGGCTTCAACGTAGTCGCAAGATGATTGAGCGTCCACAAAGGATGGCCACCAAGATTGTCAAGGGATTCCATTACCTGACATACGAGGACAGATTGCGATCATTGGGACTATATTCTGCTCAGTACCGCCGAACTCGAGGAGACTTGATTTCGACATATCAAATACCGCAGAACTCAAACCATCCTTGTCGATCGCTGCTCATGTTATCGAAAAATGTACACCTAAGGGGGCATCGTTTCAAACTACTGATTACAAAGTGTGGACTGGATTGCTGGCGCTAGTCTTTTGCAGTCAGAGTATGCAGATTTCGGAACGTCCTTCCACCTCATGGCATTTGTGCACCCACTATTGAATCTTTCAAGCGGAGACTCGACAAAACCTTGGCACACCTCACATTCGTACAATAAAGGCAAACGTAAATTCACTGTAGCCTACATTCTCTATCTCCTACCCGGATCTCTATGCGACTCCTTTGTCGATGTGTAACGATTCATCTGTGTAAATATTTTATGGGACAAAAGAAGCACCAGCTTGTAAGTTATTTCCATAATAAAAATTTGACTTCGACTTTGACCCGTTTGCAGCCCCGGATATCGGCTCTTCTTCCTCTTACTTTGGTAGGAATACATAGTCTTGAGAAGACGGTGAGTAGGGCTTCCTCATAAGCAGAAGCTTTTTAAGACGCTTGGTTGTATGGAAGCATTCCTCGTGGTGTAAGTTAGGGCTGACCAGCCACCACCTAAGACACCCAACCCGTCCATACAGAGGCTTTCTCCTGGAAAATAGCAGAAGATTGACTGTATATAATGTTACACTTGCATTACCTACCCTCCATCCCCCCATCCACAGAAGCCGAAACAGAATCACATTTAAGCAAAGATGGATCGGAAAATTATCAACGTTCCGTACAAACAAGTAACCGGTTCGAGAGGAACGAATGATTTGAACTGCAAAACGAAATAATCCAATTCGAGACCACAGCTACTGTTACGTTGGAGCGCACAGAACCCGTCACACCGCAAGTGTGTTCGTGATGCCCAAAGGCGTATCGACTCTGGATAGGGTGACTGAGGCGAATCAGACAGCTGTCGTCCGATCAATCGATCGATCAATCGGATTGTCAAGGACGCGATCTGATTGATGCGTCACCACGTTGTTTCTCATACGCCCAACACACCGCATATTTTTGCGTATTGCGTCCCGCTCAATAATACACTCTGATTGTCGTTCTCTCCAGTCGTGTTTTCTTTCCACATCATTATTGGGGGCTATTCAAGCGGCTCTCTTATCGATCAAACATCTTGGCGAGACATAACAGCTACCACTTGATAGGCTGGGTAGCGGGTAAAATCAAGTCAAGCCGATGGAAATTTGTCCGGACGATTATGCGGGTTTCCAAATGCCACGTTGATAGGAAATCCACCGTGTTCAACCTAGTAAAACCAACAGTGACTTAAATCGAATTGCGGTGATTCGATTTCACTTCGGATGAATTGACGTCCACAGGAATGTGGTTTTTGCAGAAAAAAACTATTCACTCATAGTCGTGAAAATGAATAAATATTTAGTCAAGTACAACTGAACTTAATCGTCCCTATCGTTTAAATAAGTTCAACCTTCAACAATATCTTTTCAACCTATTTTAGTACAATACATGTTAGTAAAATTATTATTATTAATTACGAGGTTTTAAGACATTCACGTCTGTGTACTGAAGCGGACTGTTTTCAAAGGGTAACCCCAGCCTATTTGATACAAAGTGGGAATAAGAATCAAGAACTTGAATCTTTTGTTCGGTCCGCTTGAGATGGAAAAGTAACCATGAATGATTATGAAGTGAAAAGTATTTTGTTTTAGAACTATTTTTGATTGGTCATCCGAGATTTCGATGGATTGGAAGAAAGAATCTGTTATGGTAGTCAGTCTGGAGGATTCCATATGCCTCTGTAAGCTGAATGGGCGATTCCAATGTGAAAATATCAGCACTATCATCATGTGGATTTGTAGCTCAGTTGGTAGAGAGTGTGCACTGCTCAAAATGTATAGGCAGCGTCCATGCGTGGGTTCGAATCCCACCGAGGCTACTAAACTTTCCCTAATTCAAACTTAACTATGGTCTTGGTGTTGGGTATTTGTAGGCACACGCGTTTCAAGTTTGTATTTCCGTATTTGTCTAACTTGTGTAAGCTTACATTTCAGTTAGAATTGTCTATGTTGCTTCATGTACGAAACTTTGGACGCAATTCACTTGATATCTGCTCCTTTTTGGGTAGATTTTGGGCTAAGTAGAGTACAGAGGATTTTTTATAAATGTTACTGCGAGATGATAGATACCGAAAAGAGGAACGTGTGGGTGGTTGAGAATGACCAGGTGATGGATCGGGATGCAATGGATGAAGAGAGTCGTCTAGAATCAAATGAGGCAATTTAACACAGGAGTTGTGATCGATGAATCGATTGAGATTGATAGTGTGCAATTAATTATCACCAAGCCACGATGAATGGTTTTGAAGTCTTGTTTTCAAAGGCCGGGAAACACTGCAGGGAGCAATACAGTAAAATGGGTAAAACATATTGGTGAAAGAAAGAGGATAAGACTGCTTTCAATCGTGCGGTTAGATAGAGCACACATGCGTTGACTACTCAGATCTGTGGGAAAGTTACCTCCAGTGTTTGCATAACGTTTGTTTTGGCTTGATTCGAACAGGAAACGAAAAATTCACAAATGGACAGAACGCATGGAATCCAGATATCTATCTCACCGGTCTTTGAGACGACAATCGATGCCGTTCATTAGTTTGAATATTTAGAGAAAATCAGTGTGAATGAGCGTGTAGCGTAACACAGGGAAGATGACTTCACATATTGGATTACCATTTTCCCAGGGATTATTCGAGAATTGAACAAATAAGATTGGGAATTATGTTCTCTGTTATGTGGAAAGACTGGAATCATTGGGGCTGTACTCCACACTTTATCTCCGGATTCGAGAGGACTTGATTTTGGTGTCTCAAATAATGCAGAACTCTGATTACCCATTGGGGGTTCACTGTTCGCTTTGTCACACAACATTCACCTGAGGAGGTACTCATTCAAATCCGTGTTCCACAAATGTCGACTGGAATGCCGGTGTCATTCAGTTGTCGTCAGAATGTACTGTATTTGGAATTCTCTACCACTTCACATTGTTTCTACTCCCACAACTGATTCTTTCAAACACAAACTGGATGCTACTTTGACAAGTCTTAGTTTTCGACATCCGTAGCAGTCCAAGAAACAAGTATAATTCGTGACATTCATCAACTATCTATGATTCGTTAATCGATTCATTTGTGCCAAATCATATGGGCCGAGGAAAGCAACCGCTTCTAAGTATTTCCCATAACAAACTTTGACATTGACGCGGTTGTACACCTATCGTTGCACAATGTAAAACATTGACATTTCTACACAGGATAGATCACTCAAAAAAACAGACAATTTGGTCAAACTTGGTTAAATGTAAGGAATCCGTTGAGAGATGCATAGTTTACGGCAATGTACATATCTACCAGTAGCATACTCCATAACCTGTCTGATGTAATTCAAACTGATTGTTAAATCCACACTGTGCTTTTCATCCGCTGAACATGTGGAATTCTTTCACAAACATTCTGTCAACCTGATTGTGACCATCTCAGCTGCCAGTGGTTCTCACAAACTCAGGTTTGGCCTCCACCACAAGTCTTTTATTCTGTATATAATACCTTAAAATCCGTAGATTAAAATCTGTTGTAACGCTTGGTAACCAAGCCAGTAATATTTTATCGTATGTGCTTTTATTTCAATGAAACTTTTTGGTTAATGGCATTTTCGTTGCTTTGCCTTGCCGGTTTAACTTTAACTCCGACCCACAGAGCACCCGTCTGCCAGTATTTCCTCACCGCCCTGTGTTCAACTTCCCTATTGCCATTCTCCGGAGTCGTTTGTCACCCTCCACTCCTCGTCCCGTCTCTAGCTGTGAGAATACGACACAAAGGGGTATCCTGTTACTCCACAGCTGTGCGAGAGTAGTGCAAATGTGATAAACAGTTTATCGTCAGTTCTCAGTCTTTTTCGGCATACACCATGCTCCCCTGTTATTAAATTGCTTTGAATTACATGTTCGCTTTGAAGTGGACTTCTACTATCAGAGGTTCGCATTTGTACACTGCACTGAAAGTCACTCTGCCAGGATGGTTACTGGGACCAATAGTTACTTGCGTCACCGTCTCGCAGACCGATCTCCTAATCGCATAATACCTGTGCAACACCTGATAGACGGATACCAAAATTCAGTCTATCAGATTGGCTAAAACAGCAGTCTTCTGATACAGTGACCGACCAATATGGTGGTTTCGTTGTTTCTTACGTGCACATGGTAACCACAAAAATGGGGAACCGGGAAGGATGGAGTTTATCTCAGAAGCGTGCTCTCTATCCATTACCGAAAGGATCTAATTGTGGATACAAAATGATCACACACTCTTGGAAAATCCCTTTCTTGTACATCAAGATGTACCCATCCAGGAAAATAGCTTTTCATCTATTGAGTAGTGTTTTTGTTTATATTTTACACACATCTGGGCAAATCATTGAATGTACATTTTTATTTCAATTAAAAGAATAAACGGAGTCTGTAAAGTGAGGTCCAGAGCGATCCCAAGTAATTGCCACTAGCGGTTTTAAATTTGATTTATATCTATACCACATTTAACACAGGAGACGGAGAGAGAGAGATGGAAGCCCAAAAACGAGGTAATCTTCAAGACAAATCAAGTCTTCGGGTATGTTTTCTGATCACAGCACAGGACTAGTCCAAATCGGTTCCGTTGTACCATTCCCAGCGAAGCTTCTCGGACATGGACTTGCTCACCAAGCGTCGAACAATGGCCAAAGCAAACTCGGCACTGGCAGACGCACTTCGACTTGTGACAAGGCTCTGATCAAGCACCACCTCGGAAGGGAGATACCAGTGTTCTGTAATACTGGCCTGAACCGACGGATTGGCAGCTACACGCAAAGTCTCATAGATTCGATAGGGTTGTAGCACTTTAGGTGATGTGCTGCCTGCAGCAATTATCCGACGTCGATCCTCGTACAGTTTGAGCAAATTGCCCACCTCGATCGGTTGTATGAGTGCCTCAGTCGCGGCAGCACCACCGGGTAAAATCAATGCCGGTTGAATCAGATCTTGCATTTGGGGAAACGGTTGGTGCACAAAAACCGAGACTTTATGCCCTCCGGGCACCGGGTACTCATGTGGTCCGGGAAGTGGCACGAGCATCGGTTGGACCCCGGCTCGAACCAAGAAGCGGTATAGTGTTGCGAGTTCGATTTCCTCGAACCCCGGAGCAAGTAAGATTAGAGCCACTTTCGTGCCGGTGATGGCCATTGTCCAGGGCAGTAAAAAGAAACTGATG